TTTTTTTTTTTTTTTTTTTTTTTTTTTTTTTTGAACTGTGTTAAAACACACACAACAGATTTCACTACCTTAATAGTTTTTAAGTTTGTGCAGTTCAGTGGACTCAAGCCCATTCCTGTTGCCGTGCAAATATCATGCCGATTTTTAATGTCTGAGACAGAGCAACATTTTTCCTTGGTAGGGTACCACGTGCTCACTTTTGTGCGCTTTTAGAATTTTTTTTGCTAAAAGTGATCTTGGGCAAAATAACTAAAATAATAGCTATATACAATTTAGAGGCAGTAAACCCTTGTTAGCGGAGCGTGTCCTGTTCCCATCAGACTGGCTTAAGTACCGAGGGTAAGCACTGAGCTGATTCACACAGATTGTGAAAGCCATTTTTGTAATCCTGGATTTTTCTTAATTTTTTATTTTACTTAACATTTTGTCCTGGCATATTAAAAAATGTGGTACTTTTTGGGTTTACTCCTTTCTCTGCCCCTATTAAATGATTACAGGTCCATAAAAGGCAAAAGAATTGGACTTCAGAGTCTCAGGATCCCTCAGCGTTCCTGGTTCCTCGCTTAGGGACTTGCACAGAGCAGGCACTCAGTAAATGTTCAATTAAATTGACAACAGGAATCTTTTCCCTCCCGTCCGGGTCCTTGACATATTCCAGCTCTATTTTAGCAGCTGAAATAAGTAGGTAAAGGGTCAAGGGAGGCTCTACTTGCAGGGCGCTCAAGTTACTGTGGTGTGACTGGATAAAGAGGTCCCTGTGAGTGGAGGGACAGAGAGCATGCGCCTAACACAGTTGGAAACACATTTATCTTTGGAATCTGTTAAAGGAACACTTTTTTTTTTTCTTTTCCTTAGTGGAATTACTCTATTAGCCTTTTAGTAAGTAAGCACTTCAGTTAAGGCTTTGAGTTTCAGAAATAATTGGGGTTGATTTTCATTTTAAAATTTTAGTTCTGAAACTTGGTCATGGTGCAGAGACAGGAACATATCGCAATGACAGTTAATGTGAAATCCATTTTGAAATGCATATGCGCAACCAAAAATGCTAGCTAAATTGCTCACTGGTCCTCTAGTAGCGTTCCTTTCATTCCACGCCGCGAAAAATTGGAGCCATCTGTGTAGCTCGAAAAGGGAATTTCATTCCTAGAATGGCAAACCGCATAGTCTTGCAAATGTTTTAAGAGTGACTTTGTGAAGAATTTTAAAAATTGGATTAGTGAAAAGACTGAGACTTGTTTTGAAAAACATCCTGGCAAATGTTGATGCTCTTTGCCCAGCAGCCTGCACTCTATGTCATGACTAGATTAACGCTCACTTGGTCTTGTCCAGAGACATCTATTGAGGCTTACAGTACGGTTTCTATGATGTGTAATGCTAAGGACGTGCCTGACAGTGGCAAACTTATAGAACAGCAACTCAGATGCAGATTCATTTTTCAGACAGATGACAATGCTTATGTGTTTTTTAGCTCTTTGTTAAAGTGATGCAGTCCGTTCAATACACTGAGTTGGGAGCAATCCTGTGTCCAGGGCCTCTGGGAAGAAATGGTTCCCTAAGGTCTCGTGGATTCCAGAAAGATTAAGATTTGGCCTAGTGATACAAGGGAACAGAACAGTCAACAGGAATAATAGGTAGACTGGTTGGAGGGGAGGGTGAAAGCTTTGTTCTCCTGGTGGGTAAATTTAAGATAATCCCAAACAGGACTAAGGAATGTCAGTACCTTCCAGAAGAGGGCAACAGGGCAAAGGAGGAGGCGCTGGCCTTGAAGAAGCCAGAAGGAGACCCAGTCACTGCGTTACGACGACGCCTTGAGAGAAAGCAGGTCCAGAAGGCCTGGGCGGTCCTATTCACCCAGGTCAGGACAACTTTCTGCCCACAAAGCCTGAGTGCCCTGCCTCTTACCCATGTGCCCTTTAATCTACTGATACAAGCTGATAAGCATTTGCAAATGTGGGTTAGATGCCCTGGGCAGGGGTCCCCGGTACCAGCCAGGATGATTTCAGAAAATTTCCATGCAGCTCTGGAGAGAACAGGAGATGTTTCCAGAGACTGTCCTGAGCACAAGTCTGTTAGGAGATTCAGTGTGCTGATGTGGGGACCCAACATGGAGATCAGAGATGCCAAGGCTGAGGCAAAGTGACAGCCTTGACTCTGCACTCTAAATAAACAAAAACTCGCACTGGATAAATGTTCTCCTGCACATTGCAGGGCTGCTTAGGGAGAGGCATCTGGGAATACCTGCTCTCTGGCAGAGCCTGGCAATGTCTGCCATTTTTCTATGCCCGCGGCTATGTGCTCTTCAGAACAGGAGACCTGGAGACAGCATCAGCACAAGGGACAGTTGTTGTATGAAAAGATGAACTAGAACGAGCTAGACAACTGAGATGTGAGCCTTTTGAAAGCATAGCCTGTAGAATTGGAGGCTGTGCATACATGATAAACCATAAAGATGATTTAGTTTTCTGTCCTTCATGGTGACATGGGAACCTGACTATGTAAAGGAAAGTGCAATTTCAGACATCACTGTCCAGGTGAACCTCTGGAAGAGATGTGTCCCATAGTTCGAGCCCACCCCACACCCAAGACAGTGAATGCTAGGTGCTTTAATTCACTTCATTGCTGTATTTGTCTAACAGGCATCATAGACAGCTACCATGTATTTTTGCCAAGAAAGAAAAACTAGTCTAACTGGAGAAAAGGAGGCTAATACACAGAATAAAAGAAAAGCAAGAAAACATCCTATTATCAAAGAAAGAGCAGAGTTGCCATAGAATTTAATGTAAATCATAAATATAAAATTTTAATATTAAGTATTTATTTCTGCCCTAATGGTGTCTTATAGTATAATAAACAAGTATATTCATTGAAAAAAGGAAAAAAGAAAGCATAGTTATCACTTGTTGAAAGAAAGAGAATGTAAAATAGCTAAAACAGATTTTAACCCAGATTGCTTTGCTTTATTACTTATATGTGAGGCCATCAAGCAGGTAAAGAAACTTCTTAGTGGTCAAGAGTTTCTGAATGCAAAGAAAGCTGTTCAGGAGAGCTAGGATGTGACATGTGACACACTGAAATCTTGGCCCTAAATTATAAGAAACAAGCAAAAACACCACTAGCAACAACGACCGCTTTGGTACAAACGTGCCTGAACTTGGCTTGAAGAACGTGCCACTTATCTGCCACCATCACATTCATGAGTAGTTGATTTATGTGCCCAGATCCTCACACAGATGGATTCATGACACATGAATAAACAAGGAAAAGCGGTTCATTCATTTCAAGAAAGGCAAGATTCACTTAGAGACCATTTCACAGCCAGCACTGCTAGCCCGTGCTCTGTGCCAGTGCTGTGCCTGCCTGTGACCTCTGCTAGGCCAGTGGGGAGGGGACACAAGCAGATCATCTCCCTGTAACTGCTGATGAAGCCTGTGTTATGCTCAGCCTGTTCACAGGTGCTGATGTTCTGTTAAAATACACAACAAAGGATAGACACGGGCTATTTTCTTGAACGCTGGTTCTCATGGCCGATTTTGACTGTAATGATATCCACTACAGCCGCTGACAGGGTGCCTCACACGGGCAGAATTTCTAAGGGGAGATTAGGATTTTCAGTGTTATGGTGATGTATTTATCAAGGCCGGTTTTTGCTTCCCATTCTGATCGTCAGTAAAGCAAAGTAAAAACACATAACATATTTCTTACGTGAAATTATTTAACAATGACGTGAGTGTCTCTGTAGTACCAAAATTTAGCCATTGATTTCTTGACCCACAGAAAGAACTCTAGAATATGCTTTACACAGAGAAACTGTCTCTGGGAAATTTTATCTTAGAGAACACCTTCTGCGTCATGCTTGAGATGTAGCAAATTTTAGGCTAGAGCTGTATGTATGGCATCCAATACTTTCAGATATACTGAGGTAAGGCATTATTTAAGAGTAAATTATTAGCCACTATAGTTATAAGGATCTGATTTCATATGCTCATGGAAAAGGAATGTGCCAAAATACACTTCAGCATACAAGCTGCATTTCAAGTGACCACAGTGTCATTATTTGAGTAGTTCTTTGCTGAGTCCTGTGTAGAACATTCTATACACAACAGAGCTGCTTACTGTGTTGCTTATTTTTATACCCATAAAATAAATGAGAAAATTGAGTGTCCACCAAAAGGACAGAGTTGGCAAGCAGGTGAAGACCTGTGTTTGCCCATAGGTGGTGTTTTACCTCACATAGCCCGAATCCTCACTGCCAGCCCCGAGCTGTGAACCCAGGACAAACCAACACCTTGACTAGGGCCCAGGATCGGAGATTCCAGTCGGAGTTGCCAGAAGGCACACATCAGTTTTGGTGGCGGCAGTGGTAGAAGATACATGTGGTGCGTCATAGAACCATTTCTCAAGAAACTCTGTTCTGATATGTAATTTACTTCACATGAGTTTCCCATCAGCTGTCAAGATGTCAGATTCCGTAAGCTGGCCTTTAGATGTTCCCATGGCACAGCAAATTAGAGAACAAAATGAGAGACCTTCCAACTTTGGTGAAAACACAGTCTGGTTCTAATATTTCAGTGGCTCGGCTTTCACATTTCTAAAGTTATATGAAGTGCTCTCATTTTCATTAATCCACGAGATCACAGCTCAAGCTCGGTTTGTTAAATTTGAATTTAAAAATAAAAACATGTTTTTTTTCTCATAATTTAAAAAACAGCACCTAAAACTACTTGCTGTATTTACATATTAAATGATCCATTTTAAGTGGCTCCAAAATGTTATAGGGAAATAATAATCGGCTTAGGCACTGCAATTACAAACATACATACTTAAGTCCATATCAAGTCAGAATATTGCACTAATTCATGAGTTAAATGGATTTCTCTCATCAGACTTCCATGTACTTACTGGAAACAGGACAATGGGCACAGTCAATGTCACAGCCACCAGGACGGCCAGGCGAACCATAAGGAGGGGGGTGTCAAACGTGTATACTTTGCTGTAAGCATGAAGCAACTCATCTTCAACTTCTCCTGTGAGAGCAAGAAACGGAAGGGTGCTCAGTCAGCACTGTTCCGGGCAGAAACATTTCATGGAGGGAACCCAAGGCAGAGGAAGAGACCCAGGCCTGGGGATTCTGACACCTCTGTGCTTACTTTCCATCTGAGCTACTGGCTATGAATCCTGAAGCTTATAAGTTACAGGGTGAAAAGTGCTTTGCAAGCTTATCTGCATCATAATAAATCTATCTCTGCTATAAAGAAGCATCACAAGCCAGGATGAGGTGCTCCAGTGGCAGGCTGATGAAAAGTCCAAGCTTGTCCCTCCCACACCACCATAATCCTCTGCCCCCATTGGTCCAGCCACCCCAGTGTGGCTTCTTTATATCCAGTGCGGAAACTCTAGGATTGAAGGTCTCTATCATTTTCAAGTTTAACCATGACTTCATCGTGACACTGGAACACAAGCTCTTGGTATTTGTTGTTGATCCATGTGTGTACATGTGCACGTGCAAGGTTGATGTTAAAATGTCTTTCTCAATGAAAGGCCTAATCTTTTCAGACAGGGTCTCTCAGTGAACATGGCCCTTGACATTTCACCTAGACTGGCTGGCCAACAAGAAACCTCAGGATCTACTTCTCTGCCCCTCCAAGGCTAGGGTTACAGACACATGCTGCCATGCCCAGCTTTTACCTGGGTGCCAGAGATCCAAAGTTAGGTCCTCATGCTTACACAGCAAGCACTTTACCCACTGACCCATCTCCTTAGCTCTCTTGGAGTTCAAATAATTGTTTTATGAAACTCATTAGAATAACATGCAAGGATGAATCAGTGTGATTTTCACAGGGTCTCCCAATGATTTCATAAGATTTATACAATGCCCTCCTTAAAAACACAGTCGGAATTCCAGACACAAGTGGAATCATACACAGCTTGATTTTCCCACTTGTGCTGGATAGCTTTAGCATCAGCTTGACACACCTGGGTTGAGGGAGCCCCAGTTGGGGAGTTTCCTCTATTGGACTGGCCTATGGCCATGTCTGAGAGGCATCTTCTTGATGAGTGATGTAGGAGGGCCCGGCCCACTTGTGGGTGGTGCCACCCATGGGCAGGTGGGCCTGTGCTGCATAATAAAGCAGGCTGAGCAGGGGCCAGGGGAGCAAGCCAGTAAGCAGCATTCCTCCATGGCCTGTGCTCCAGCTCCTGCCTCCAGGTTCCTGCCCTGAGTTCCTACCTTGGGCTCCTGGATGAACTGTGACCGGGGAGATGTAAGCAGAATAAACCCTTTCCTCCCCAAGTTGGTATTGGTCAGAGTGTTTTGTCGCAGTAATGAAGAAACAAACTAAAACAGAAATTGGTACCAGAGAGTGGGATATTGCTGTGACAGACCTGACCTTGGTGTTCTGGGGAAGATTGTGGAAGCATTTGGAACTTTGGGCTGGAAAAGCCATTGCGTGCTCAGAGTTTGTTGCTCTGGAGCCTGGAACAGTTATGTTGAAATAGTTGTAGACGATGGAGGCCTGGCTTGTGAAGCTTCAAAGGGAAGCAGAGACTATCAGGGCTGTTCGTGTAAGATTTTGGATTGAGAATCTGTGGGTTCTGGTTGGCTGGGGCTGAAAAATCAGCTGTGATTAAGAAGAGACCAGAACTTGAAGCAAAACCTTTGCTTTCCTGGGACAATTGATGCTGGTTAGCTGGGGCTGAAAAATCCAGCATCACTGTGGTGAAGTCTTCTGGGAGGTATTTCCTCAGGGTCAGCACACAGAGGGGACCTGCACCTCTATTTCAAGCTGGAAGCGGGACTTGGTAATGTGTAAGAGACTCCTGCATGGTTCTTGTGTTGAAAGCATGAAGGGGTCACAGAGAGCAGCTGAGGCTTGGCACTCTGAGAGGCCATAGGTGAAAGTGCAGCTTCAGTTGCAGATAAGACCCCAGGACTGAAGGGGCCATGGAGAGAATCTGAGGCTTTGCACCCAGAGAGGCAAGAAGAAGCTATTGGTGAAGGTGCAGCCTCAGTTTCAGTGGAGACCCCAGCTTTTTGGAGATGCCAGGACCATGGGACGACCACCAAGGACAGCAGTAAGTGTGGCATGGAGCTGGCCTGAGTCTGCGAGATGAGCTGAGTGTGCTGTGGACGGCAGAGTCAGATCAGTGGAGCTGTCAGTACCCTTTGGAGCCAGAAGATCGTGAGTGAATCCCACATGTCCAGCCTCAAGCTATTTTGCTGGACTTTGGTTTTGCTTAGGTATACCTGATTCTTCCCTTTGAAATAAGGCAGTACTTGTTTTGGATTTTACAGAAGCCCACCCACAGTTGAGACTTTAAAAAGAGACTATTGACTTTAAAGTGTTTGGATTTTTTAAGGACTGTGGGGTTTTTAAGGTTGTACTGTTTTATGGTGTGATATTAATGTTAACATCGTATCTTGGGGACAAAAATTGGAAAGTTTATGGTTTAATAGTTTGTCAAGTTGACAAGGGGTCAATTGTGCTGGATAGCTTTAGTGTCAACTTGACACACCTGTGGCCATGTCTGAGGGGCATCTTCTTGATGAGTGATGTGGGAGGGCCCAGCCCACTGTGGGTGGTGCCACCCCTGGGCAGGTGGGCCTGTGCTGCATAAGAAAGCAGGCTGAACAGGGGCCAAGGGAGCAAGCCAGTAAGCAGCATTCCTCCATGGCCTGTGCCCCAGCTCCTGCCTCCAGGTTCCTGCCCTGAGTTCCTACCTTGGGCTCCCTGATGAACTGCGACCTGGGACATGTAAGCTGCCTTGACCTGATTGGTAAAGAAAAAACGGGTTCAAACTTGAGGACTTCATCATTTCCTCCCATTTGCTTGGCAATTACTTTTCTCTGAAGAGTTTTACCATAGGTAATGGGATTCCTCCTCACTTCTAACTTGAGCTGGACCGAGGAACCTACACAAAGAAATAGCACCTATTCTTGAAGGAAGAAATTTCATTTGAGGAAATATTTTGTGTGTGTGTGTGTGTGTGTGTGTGTGTAGGTAAACAAGTATGTATGTAAGAGGCTGATGGTTGGTGTCTTCCTTAATCACTCTCCACCCTATTTCCGAGGCAGAGTCTCTGACCTAGAGCTACATGAGCTGGCCAGCACTGCGATTTCAGACATGTACGCCATGCCTGGATTTTTACGTGGGTGCTGGGAATCAAAACGCGGGTTCTATGACAAGCATTTTACCCACCGAGCTGCGTATCATTTAACGCTTCAGCCCAGTTTGAGCAAGTTCAAAAATTAAAATACATGTGAGCTCACAGAGGGCTGTACTGGTCAAACTAACCCTTAGGACAAGTGGCAACGTGGAGGAGCACAGTAGTCGACAGTGTGCCATCTTCGGATCACACACTCACAGAAGGAGTTGGAAGGAGCTTTACCTATCCAGGTGAATTACTGGTCTGACCACAAAGAGAATGACTGGTACAGAGAGACGTACCATAGAAGGTCAGGTAGCCAAAGAGGGCAGCGAGCAGGTACATGACAAGCATCCCTGTGATGGAGATATTGGACACCGTCTGCATCTTCCTCCGGGACCGACTGGGAAGAAAAAGCACATGGAGCCTCATTTAAAACACTTAAATCTAACTTAAAAATTAAAAAATAACAAAATCTACAAAACTAGACTTTAGTACCTAAACTTATAACTTGTTTAAATTCGTCTCAGAGAACAAAGATTTTTGTTAAACACTACTCCTTTAGTATTAAAAACAACCAGCTTCCTAGAAGAGGAGTGATCTAGTTCATAGCACTAAGTAAACTTATCGACTGAATAATTAGTGTAATTAGCATAAGGGTCAGACTGGCCCCAGTGGTAAAAGCATTTCCATTTCACAGTGAGATGAGTTCATTGAAGAAGAGAACATGTAGACTCAGCAAAGTCCTATCACCAAGAGTTCAGACTCCTAAGGAAGCTTTGTCTGGAAACCATTATCAAAGATGGCCGTCACCAAGGTCAACCCTTGGTCTTTCTGTAGACATTCTCTGTGTGATTCTCAAATCAAATCAAAGGCTCAAAAATAACTGAAAGTGATCCAAAGCATGTTGTGAGGCCAACTGGAATTCATGGGGAAAGAGATCACCACCGTGTGGATTAAAAGAGTTAAGAACCATTATAGGATACTTCAGTAAAAGGAAAAAGGGAAGTCGTTAGTCAGTTTATGTCCACCTTATTTCAGAGTAGATGCCAACAACCTCGAAGGAAAAGATTATGAACAATTCACAGGCCATCCATTGGAAGAAAGTAGGTTTTACAGCCAGTGTCTCCATTGCACACACATGACAGCACAAAGCCCAGTTACTGGCACGTCTGTAATTGATGTCTTTTAGGCAAGGGTTAGAAACTGACCACAAGTGACATCTGTCACTTAGCAAGGCTTCCCTGGACGTTTTGGTTATCAGGAGTATTGTAATTTCTAATACAGGTAATATCACTTCCCACCAAAATACATATTCAAATCCACACCTGCCCCAATCAGTACACACATCTCTTTCACCTGTGTGGGAGCCTCCTTTGCGCCATTAGCATGGATGGCAGGTAAGGAAGCACAGTCCAGCGTGTAGGCTGACTCATGTCTTGGCTAAAACACAATACCCATGAATGGTTTCAAGACAGACTTGCCCTGTTGACTCTCATCAGCTGTGCTTCCTCACAAAGCTTTGAATATATGAACATATTTTCAAATCAGATTAGAATGTTAAAATGACGACAGCCTTACTCTTTCAGTTCGCTGTAGATGGGAAGTACCTCAGGGTGGCACACGAAAGCAAACGCTAGGATAGGGATCGCATAGGCCGTCTGGAAAACAAAGACCGTACCACGTGTTCAGCAGGCCGGCATACGTGGTGATTCCAGACCACCTCAGTCTATGAAATAAAACTCAGAGGCCACAGCACTTGGCCCATTAGAAGCTTGGTCTGTCACTTACCCGGGAATTGAATACAAAGTATTTGGGTTGACACTTGTCATCACTGTGCGCTTCGTACTCCACTCCACTGCCGTGAAGAGAGCCCTTAGCCTGGTTCTCATCCAGCCCTGCAGGGTTGTGGTGGGCATAGTCCATCATGAAGTTCACACCAGTGCTCTCCGAGTTGTTGGGCAACATTATCACGTGCATTGGAAGAGTGTCGTTGAATGTCAGATTTCCAACATTGTGGTCCAGTACAGGCAGAGGGCAGGGTATTTGAAATTTTTTGTAAATCACCTAGACCAGTTATTAAAAATGTAAACAGCACAAAAAGTTAAGCTTTGAGAAAAAAAAAAACACACAACAAAAGAAAAGTCTGTGGTTCATGGGGTGGGGGTGAGGGGTCAGCTAAGGACTCCTTTAGATTACTGGGCTGTGGAGAGCCCCTCTCACCTCTGCTCAAAGCAAAGAGTTGGAACTATGATTTGTAGTGATATTCCAGAGTAAACAGTACCATCTTTTACATAAGTCCAACCCAAGCCTTTTTTGCTGTTTTATGACAAAGATAATTTTCTTGCTATGTTTCAAATTAATCATGATGTGAATCATCAAAAATTCTTTCCTCTTTGGGGGAAATGCTTTACAAATTTTTCATCCATGATATTGCAAGGAATTTCTGCCGTTTTGGTCGGGGATCGGCGCCTTCTTTAATTCCACATGATCGCCCTAGCTTAGTGAGTGGAGCGTGGAAGACAGAACAGCCAGAGTATGAAGATGTGGCTCCAGTTTGCTCATGTCTGTCTAGACACCTTCCTAAGTACTGGATGACGGTCCTTCCCCTTTGTCGAAATATTGGCCCAGAGAGCCTAGAACACACCATTAGCAATGACCTCAACATTCTAGCTCAAGTATTTTTAAACTCATGACTAGTATTTTCTCATTCCAAATTAGAATACAATAAAACTGCTTGTGATGCAAGAACTATTTCATGCTAGTGAAGAGACTGAGCAAAAATGAGGACACTAGTTCAGGCACTGAAAAAGCATGTCATGCTCACCAAGCTACAAGGGTCATGTCAACAAAGCACTTACCACACTGACAAAAAACACCATGCATGTAAGAGAAAATCCACTGGTATAACCAAGGTAACCTAGGAGTTAGCAGAAATATTTTGGAAGGTGAATATAGCATCTAAAAACAGCTGACCTATTAGAATACGAAATAAAAATAAACACACTTTCAGTCAGTAGACAGGGAATTTAATACCTAAATTTTTAAGAAGGGAAAGTGGAAGGATAATGGCCACAGACACAAACACAACGAGGTAGTTGCCGTTGAGGTACCACTCCCTAGAAGACAAAGGGAGGAGAGATGAGAAAAGGTCAAGCAGAGGGAGTTACTTGACATCACAGAGGAAACAGAAGACATACCCAGTATTTTCTTCAAGTCCCATGAATGCTCTGATTACTTCAGGTAGCTCGTATTTAATGATAAAGAGGTAGCTTGACATGGCTGAAATAGAAGGAAGGACAGCTTAGTGTGTATGTACGCTGAGGTCCCACACAAGTTGCTAGAAGTCCTGGGGTTTGGAGCGTTCACTCTTCTTGGGAAGATGAGCCTCTAATCCCCCTAAACAGAAGGAGAAGCTACCATGCACTCTGCAAGGCTACCAAATTCCTTTCAAAAACAGACGTTTGCCCTTCTAGCTCTTCCACGGGGACTGTTGCTAATAGTATTGATGTTGATTCCGCGTTGACTCTGGCTTGAGATGTCCAGAGAGGCTGCAGGTTGTAGGGTTTCACTCTCATTAGTTAGAAACCACCATGACCTGCATTGGGTGTGTCTGTGGGTGAGGGTCTGGAAACCAAAGGCCAGCCTGAACTAGAGCAGAACTGGAGGCCAGGTGACACCTGTCTGGTCCTCTGTGGTCTTCCTGAGCAGCACATAGAATCTCAGACCAGTGATTGTGAAAGCCTTCTAGATGGATAAAGGAGTGGAGAAGATGACACCCTCTCCTCCATTTGGTCTATTTAAGGGTTTGACTGTTTCCTTTCATTCTAGTATCCCACTGGTCATGTAAGAAATTACACAAAAGGGCAAAACTTCATGAGTATTTTGGTGAGTGAAATATGACTGACCAAATACTGTTATGATTTTACAATCATAAAATCTATACCCCCAGAAAAAGGAGTATATGCAAAGTGTTGTAGCTTTGCCTCCAGTTGGAGGGATTTGTGTACCACTCCTGTCCTGAGTCTAACGTTCAGTACAGTCTGATACTGACTTGTTATTTGACATGTGACTAAAGGGCTCAAGTAAAAAGAAAACTGGCGGGGCTGAAGATGTAGCTCAGGGGTAAATGCTTGCCTAGCATGCATGGGAACCGGGCTCTGCCCTCCTGTACCATCAGCACCGATATCAATGAAAGACCAACTTTACATGGCAGCTTTAAGTGTGTGCTGTACCTTACTGGTGAATTTTTGCTAAGAGGCGTTTAAAGCAGATAGCCAAGTTGTACACTGCATTGCTAACTGCATTGTTAATAGTTTAATAAAACGATTTCTTTAACTTCCACTGGAACTGATGACAGTGCTGGCCATTTCTGGCATTGCCTAATTCTGTGTATTACTTCATTTGATCATCTGAAAAGTCCTTGAGATGACAGGTATGTGGTGTCACCCTCCTCTGTAGCTCAGGATATAAAGATTTTGAGAACTCAGTGACACGTCCAAGACCACACTGCTTAAAGAGAGCAGATAGCAAGGAAAACACAGGGGCCCTGACTTCTGAGCAAGTGTTCCTTCCTATTGTCCAAGTGAAATGATTTCTACGAGACCTGCTGCGTCTTCGGCACACATCATTTAGTTAATCTTTACAGAGACCTCAGCTACAGCAGAATCTTACAGAGCAGAAACAGCAGCTATTTCTGACGAAGTGGCTCAGTGAGGCACCATTCATTTTAGAGCTATTAACTGCTGACTCTCAGTGATGTGACCACTGCTAATGTGTTTGGTCTTTGAAAATTCAAGGTGGTACTGACCTGTTTGGGTAGTGTCAACATCATTCTGCTAATGCTAAAACATCTGTGGTGAATGTTAATTTTTTAGGGCATTGAGAAATTAAGTGTTCTAAATGTGGAGTTGCTAATTTAAGAAATACAATTGGTTTCTTTTATGCCAAATGTCTAATCACATAAAATAACCAAAGTCAGAGCATTTTTTGGGGTGGTGCTATGAAATTTCATCTCCCTTAAAGCATACATCTTGTGTTTGGCTTGATACAGAGCCCACTGTTAGTTTATTTCACATCTGGAAGTCTAGCTGGGGCTGTATAGATACTTAGAACAAGCAGGGCACCATCATTCAACTTGGCGAGTACAGGACTAAGCATACTGAGGTCTGCTTAGTTCAGTTGTCAAAACAAGTAAACTGGGCCAACTATAGGGGATCTTATGAAATGCTTGATACTTTAAATCTAGATAAGGCTGAAAATCTGAACCAAATGTATGGCGGCCACTTTGGTGGGCTTAGATGTTTTCCGTCCAAATCCAGTAAAAAATAAAGTGATTCCAGCAATCCTGGCAGTATCTACCCAAGACTTTTATCTTAAATGTGAAAACATAAGGAGAAATAAACAGAAACTGGGGGCTCTGGGTGTAGCCTAGAGGTAAAGCGCATGAATCTATAAGGCCGTGGTAGGTGATTCACACCTCACCTGTGAGACTTAAAAACTATAATGCAGCTGTTTTTCTATAAAGTGCTTGTCTGTTGCTGGAATAGGTGTTTGTTATTTGTTTCTTTGTTTTGCTTTTGTTTGACGGGGTTTGTTTGTTTTATCAAGCATTCTGAAGAAAGTTCTAGCATGCCACATGGCAGCTCCATGCCCTTACCTCCAATGTTCTGCATCGTAATGGAAACAAAGGCTCCAATTTTTCCAGGCCATCCAAATGCCTTTTCCCCTAATTTTTCATAAATTAAAGACCCTACAAAAGAAGAGAAAATTGCCTGGGCAGAGGATCGTTTTAATGCCAATAGCACGTTTAGTATATAATTCTACCCTGGAATATCAAACGTGTAACAAAATAGTATATAGAAATTATAACCCCCAAAAGATGAGGCCTCAGAAACCAATGAGCAGAGTGTTAAAATATTCCTCAAACAGGCAGGGCACCGTTCATGTGAGCTGTGTGTAGCAAGCCACAGCAGCTCTTTTCTGTTATCCACCAAAAACCTTTCTTTACTGTCTTTGGTTTGACCCTGAACCTGTTCACGTTCTTTCTTTCATACGGTCACTCACCCAGTTAACTAAAAATCTTAAGAGACCATATTGCTGCAGAAAGAAGAAAATGAACCGTAAAACTGACTGAAGTCTTCCTCAGCTTGTAAAGCTACGCAGGCTGACAGAATCAAACGCCAAAGATCACCTGTTAGCTTAAGACACGGTCGTAAAGGTAGCATACCTCCTTCCTTGGCTGTCTTTAGTAAAAGGTGAACTGAGTACAGCGACAATATCGCCACGGTAAGCAGAAGGATTCTGCAGAGGAACAAAGAATAACACCACGGGCTTTACAACAGGTCAGCCATCTCGACGCTCCACACTGCAGTGAGCAATCATACCTTCCTTTTCCATCATGGACTCTGCAAAGGTATCTGCATTTGGAGGATTCTGGGAAACCTTTTATTTGGCCAGATTTATCCTTTAACGCCACACAGCTAGAACTTCCTATATTATATATGCCTAAACCTCCTATCTGAAGTCTCTTACATAATTGTGGAGTCTGTTTCACAGCTGGATTGCTAAAAGTATAAACATGAACATACATCTACTTACTACGCATACTGGACTATGTACATCATAGTCCATCAACATATAGCTTGAAAGATTATTTAAAAAGCTGACTAAACCTAGGTTTAGAAACCTGACTTTTGTAAGTACTGATCCTGTATATAAAAAGGCACTTTGCTAATTGGAAGGTTAAGCAATTCCATATAATGAAGAAAGTTGAAGAGGGTTAGTGTGGATGGCAGGAAAATCCCTCAACTCTATTAAGAAGGAATCACTTCTGATGTCAAGACCCTCTGTAGGACCTCCTGTGAACGGCTTCTGTAGTTTATACTAATCAGCATTTCTCCAAAACCAAGAACTAGAGTGTAAAAATAGAGTGTGGATAAAGCCAGGCGGGTGGCACATACCCATAATTCTAGCACTTGGGAGGATGAAGCAGGAAGATCATTGTGGGTCCCATTGTCTCAAACAAATGAAAATGAATGTGGTTAGAGTCATCTACACAGAAAGGAAGGGACAGCACTAACCTAATCTGAAATTTAAGAAGGAAATCTTTCCCTGTGTTTGTTTTACTTGAGGACCCACACATCTCCCCAAAGTTTCTGAAATCCTCTGATAATCCCCTTGAAATCAATGCTGCCTTTCATTTGCAGCATGGACTACGCATTTCATAGCTACTCTAGGTATCTGCGGCCTTATTTTCCGGAAAACAAGTCTGCCAGAACCGTCCAATCAATGACTAATCATATATTCCATAGGAATGTGCCTGTTTTTTAAAGAGTTATGTAATTCAAATTACCTAATTTTGTTCCATGGAAAAATAATGAGTAATGAGCATTTCTATATTCTAAACGTGCTTTGGCAGGAATTCTAAACACAAAACCATGGGAATACCGCGCCACTTGCTGTAAATAAGGGAGAGAGGCGAATCTATTCTGTGTTACTTAATCACACAAAACACGTCCTATCCTATTTAGTTGTGTAATTGCTCTGGCCAAATAAATCTCTACTAAATTACTAAATGTTTATAGGCCTAAAATGAGGCCTTTTTTTTTTTTTGAAGTGGAATGCAGTGTTCTCCATGAAGTGATCTATGACTCTCTGGATGGGAGAAGTGTTTTCCATTTCTGTTCAACAATGATCTGTGATCATCTTTTAATTAATTTTAATTACATCTATAATTAATGAATGAGCTGTCTTTTTGTCTCAGAGGTTGTGTTTATTATAAAACCATATAAATATATTACTAGCCTAAGATTCAGATAATAAACAGCTAATTGATTTCAAACATGGCTTATAAAAGTCAAGTTAGCACAAAAAAATCCATTCAGTTAAAGACAGTTATACATAAAATAGCTCAATGGAGGCACTGACACAAGATACATATTTATAGCCCCTCAAATAGCTGATTACCTAATCACATGTGACGTTGGAACACAAACAGCATATATTTAAAATGTAAATGTTGCATTCTTAGACAGTTAACTCTCTAGCCTTGCATTTGGGACCAGGACCTGTGCTCACATGATGTCTAATGTGCAACTTTATTCTTGTGAAGAATTTCACTACTGACAACCATGTCTTGGAAAATACCAAGCTGTATGTGACTACGCAAACACCTGTGGTTGTCCATCACAGGTTGGGTCATATCCAGACATCCTATTGGCCAGCTCTGAGAAACTGCCATCCTCAAGCAGCCTTTGACTAAGTTTGGTGAAAGCATACAGGTTTAGAAATGAGCTTCAGTCACTAGGCAAATATTCCCTGTGTGAGACACTGTGTTAGGCTTTAGAAAAAGGCATGTGGTGAGGCTTCAGCTCAGTTCTCTAGAGTGGATAGTCCGCAAGGGAGCTAGACATTAACTAAACAAATCAAATAATCACACAAGGATGCTACAAGTGAAGCCAGTGTATCACAGATTTGCCCATCACGGCGGAGGTCAGGGAAAGCACTAGGGTGAGGTTGAGCTGAGATGTGAGGCATTAACTAGATGAAGAAAGGAAAGAGGGCTCCGAAGCGACATGCAAGGGCCTATTGGCCAAGGAGAAGGCCAGTGTTAAGGTGTCTGGTGTCCAGAGACATGGGGAATAGGACTGGGGCATGCCGGGCTCTCAGATGAGTTATTATTCCTAAGAACATTTAAAAACTAAATTTGGGAACCAGAGAGATGGCTCAGCAGTGAAGAGCACTGGCTGATCTTGCAGAGGATGTGGGCTCAGTTTCCAGCATCCACATAGTGGCTAACAGCCATCTGGAACTCCAATTCTAGGGGATCTGACACCCTCTTATGGTCTCCATGGGTACTGCATGACATAGGTGCACCTACATACATTCAGGCAAAACACTCATGTACATAAAAATGAAGACATATTTTTTTAAAAAAAAAGAAAATGGCAGCTGGACATGGCTGCCCAGGTCTTTAGTCCCAGCATTTGGGAGGCTGAGGCAGACAAATCTTTGTGAGACTGAGGCCAGACCCTATCTCAGAAAAACAATAATTAATAATAACAAATAAATTAAAAAGTTAGATTTGCTTTTGAGAAGGATATTTTGATTACTGAATGCTAGATTAAGTATCTATCAAGCAATGAAATACTTTGTGGAATTATTTCTGTGGCTTGGAGGGGTTGCTCTAACATTTTGGGTACTCGAGCACAGAAACATCTGCCATTTGGTTAGAGGTGGCTGAGTGAGCACATACTGATTTCTTATTTATCAGGTGTCAGATTTATCTAAATGGAAGAGGAATTTACTAGTACTTTCTCAAGTTCTTGTTCACAAAGAGCATCTATCAGGCTATGCATGGACTGACCAAATGCAGACATGTATGTTCACTTACATAAAAAGAACGATCCCTGTGTTGGCCATGGCGTAGGACAAGCCCAGGATCCCACTGCCCATGATGGCATTACTGAGGTTGAATGAGGACATTCCAAACGAAGTAGTTCCGGGGTGCTTGGAGAAAAAGGGATGCACTGTAAGCAAACAGTTTCGAAGGGACCAATCTTTTCTTTGGTTAGTCTTTATATATTCACCTGGAGAAATTACAGTCCCAAATCGAAGACTAATATAAAATCATAGTGAGTAAGAGCTAGTACACAGAACTTCAATAAAAGCATGTGATTTTGAAGGCAATGTAGGGCTTGGTTTCAACATAGATCTCAGAAAAAATTAAAAATACAGGTGGATTAATATAAAGAAGGAAAGCATGTATAACTGCAGATTACATTTAGGTTAGAATGATTTCTTGAAAAAACAAATAAATTTCATAAATGATTCATGCAGCCATATGGCAGACAGGAAAAACAAGCCCTTATTCCAGTAAGGGCTTGAATAAACAGAGAATGTGCTGATCAAGGGCTGGAAAATTTCAAACACATTGTTTTCCCACTGAGACCTAGGTAGATGGGACACCCTCAGTCCTGTTTACTGCCCAAAGGCAGAGGCCCACTTACATGCTCATCGGAGTAACCAGCCAGCTTCTTTTCCCCCAAAAATCCATTTGTTAGGAATTTCTGACTCTCAGCATCTTCATTAGCAAATTGACTGAACAGGCACACAGAAGAAAAATAACAAAAAAAGCATCGCATTAAGTGCCACCATCCGTTGTATTTATGTTTCAGAGGTCTAAGAGACTGAATGAAGCAGGGGGGCCAACTGCTAACTTAAGGGAGAAAACATCTAGAACTTTCTTCCTTCATAATTCTTTCCAGATCAATCATTGAATTCCGTATAAATAGACCTTGGGAGGGGCTGTGGATATTATGAAGGAAGGGAATATTTTTAGTTGAAAAACCGTTCATGCTTTTTTTCATATTAACTATGCAAGAAGCAGACTAACTGGACTCCATTTTGGCTCCAGCTATGGCCCTGAGTTTTCTAAACTACTGCTGTGCTGTGGTGAGATGATTTTATTAATTAATTTTTGCTTATGGTACCAAGGATTGAACCCAGGTCCTCTGTCAGCCAAGTGCTCTGCACGAGTCATACCCCCAGTTCTGATTTTACTAATGTAACCAAAATATTTGTTAGATACCCAGACATGCATCTCTTCTGTTGCCCCAAATATCCCTCTGAGAGGAATTTTCATGGTCCTGCTCTGAAGATGAGACACCTGTGGGTAGAAAAGGGAGTACGTGTTCTCCTGCCAGGCTGCCTGTGGTGATCCTTGGCACCGCACAGTGCCAGCAGGGCCCCGTAGCAGACACATCCTCTTACTCAGCTCCTTCTGCCCTTTACACATATGTTGCTTATTGCAAAGTAGTTGAATGGCAGCTCTAAGTTGTATTTGGTTGTATGTGTGTGCGTGCGTGTGTGTGTGTGTGTGTGTGTGTGTGTGTGTGTGTTTAGTGTCTGTGTGTGAATGACTCTGAAAAATGTGCTTCTGCTATTATTTGATAATGGAAAAACTGAGGATATTATTAAAGAAACCCAGCAACTTGGTAAAGGAGTTGGTAGGGAAATTAAACTTTAAAGGGACAAGATTCATGAACACTGTGATTATGGTCTGCCTGGACACAGGCTAGAAGCTGCACAGGTTGATAGATGCTGTCCACTTCCTGACCAGCACAGGATGCTGTCCCCTTCCTGTGTTGGCCAACTACAGCAGCCACAATACAGGAGCTCTGAGCTACGGACAGAGGGCCGGCCATATTTCCAAAAGGCTTGACTAACAACACCAACTGCCATCATTACAGTTTTACCCAAAATATGATACAGGCTTTTTTGGTTCTATTCAATGCTCAATTCTGCATGCTTCTTAAAAGTACTTTCTAATTAGACAAATTGCAATTCCCAAGGTATTTCTTGCATTCAAGAGTAAGACCAAACAATGGGAGAGGATTTTATGAAAATATTCCTTAGAAATAAAATGGAAGCAAGAATTATTCCAGGAGATTCTCACAAATTATCTTTTAAATAGGAGCTAATCTTGAAGGTACTCTGGTGAGCAAGAGGCATGACAGGGCGACTCTTGAAGAACAGAGAGGAACAGAGTACAGATAGAGCATGACAGACAGAGCTACAAAGCTTTCTGTATTCTTCAAGGACCTGATCAACTCTGACAGGATAAAAATGGGACAAAAGACTCTAAGAATGAAAGTGTTGCTTGAAGTACAGTCTGCACCCAGGAATGTCTAATAGTTTAGTTTTTACTTTAATCAACAAATTAAAATCTCATCCCGAGTGATTTTTAAAATTTAGAATTTGAAAGTAAACATTACTTTTTCTGAGGCATTTGTGTGCTCTTACTTGGGTGTGATATGAGGTGTAGGCTTAAAACAGGCTAAGACCATTCAAAACACCTGAGACATGTCCCAGCATGTTCAATGGTTTGACACCAAATCAAACATCTATTGAAAACATTCAGCAAAAGCAATTGTAAGCAGAGGCAAAATTTAAATTTGGTTTAGTCCAAACCAAACACAAACAAAACCCATCTTTTTGAGACAGGGTCTTCCTGTAGCCCCAGCTGTCTTGGAACTCACTATGTAGACCAGGCTAGCCTTGAATTCACAGAGATCCGCCTGCCTCTGCCTCCCCAGTGCTGGGATCAAAGGCGTGCGCCACCACACTGGCTAAAAAAAGTAACTATAAAATTTCTGGGCAGGGTGGCACATACCTTTAATCCCAGCACTCCAGAGGCAGAGGGAGGAAGATCCCTGTGAAACTGAGGCCAGCCTGATGTCCAGTAGCAAATTCCAGGCCAGCTGGGGTTACAGGAAGACCCTGTCCCCAAAACAAAACAAAATATAAAATCACAAAATAACGTCTTATGCATGCGCTGTCATTGTGAGTGGCTAAGAAGTTGTGCAAACTTGAGAGCATCACTGTGGATTCTTGAGGGCCAAACGGTTCAGTCCAGGACTGCTCTCCCAAGTGTGCTTCCTTCGGCTCAGCCACCCTCTGCAGACCTTATAACTGAGCACATCCCCTTCCGAGTCAAAAGGGCCCTCATACCTGGATTGGATCAGCAAAGTCATGAGGTGGAAGAGAAATAACAAAAAAAAAAAAAAAAAAAAAAAAAAAAAAAGAAAAAAAAAAAGGATTTGACTATCACCTACATCCCATGCATTGATTTCTTCCTTAGAAATGTAGGTATTAGTTTGCCATTCTACAGAAGATAAATAATTCCCTAAATCAAGTGGCTACTCCGCAGACTCCAGTGCCCTGAGTTCAACCTCACCCACAAGGTCATTCAACTTGGAAATTGCCATTATTTACCTCTCAAGGGCCTCTTTGGTCCAGCAACCCTGACGTTTACCGCACTAAACTACTTATAGGAAGAATAGTGCCTTCTACCCCACATGCCCCTACAGCCCTGCCAAGACAGTGTGAATGAGATGAGATGTTTTTATTTGAAATGAGGCAGTTAAGTCACCTTAGCTGTCCTGTGGAATTGTGCAGTCCACAGACAATGTAATGATCTGAAACTGGGTTGGAAGATTTAATGGGCTGAGAACGTGATGTATATTTAGTGGGTGACCCCATAACAGTTGTGAATGAGCTTGCTCAGAGGATACTGGAAACCCTGGAGACACAGCCAACATCCAAAGTATAGTCAAAGCAAGAAAAACCCAAGAAAGAATCATCCAGAAGGTAAAGGGAATAATAGGCGAATGCAGATGAAATACAGGCTGCATTAGTAGTAAAGACAGAGACCCCGGCAAGCTCAGTTTCCAGCCAGTCCCACAAAGGACTGACATTACTACTGTATTTCAGGATCAGGGATTTGCTATATTAACATCAACATTGTTATCTCAAATGTATCTGCAATAAATCCAGTCCTTCCACAAGACCCTGGTTTTCCGTGTCTGTGAGCCTGTCTCTCTTGCACAGAGCCTGGTGGCTTGACTCCCCCCGTACCTGCTCATGGCTGCCTTTTGGGAGCTGCCCACCCCCGTGTAGCTGTCTTGAACACTTTCTCCACTGCTACTCTCTTCGTCGGGCTCCATGTTGACATTTCTCAGTTCCATGGGATCCATTTGGCCCGTCAGCACTTTCTTGTCCACACAAGAGCTCCTTCAGTGTAAATAATATACTATACCTTCAGCTCAAGGCGCTTCCTTGGGTCAATGTTCAGAACTCCGTTCTGAAAACAGAACACAAATCATTATCGTCTGCTTTAAGTTGGATCACTGAATTTGAATCCCCTACCTTGTTTATGCTTGCTGGGAGACATAGAAAGTCATCATGAGGGTATAGGTATTTGTAAACAGACTGCATGCCCTTTTAAAAATGAGAGGGAGGACAAAATTAAATCATTGACAAAGGAAGATCTGCCCAGTATCTCTACTAGAAGTAACTGGAAAGAACATTCAAGCCTTAATTGAACTGGGCATGAAGGAGCCTTGATAATAGGGACAGGATCAAGGATGGAAAGCCACTTTATAGGCACATCAACTGAACCGAAGTCAGCAGATTTACGTTCAGATTGGCGTTGAACAACATTTACATCAAGGTATTTTAACCAGAGAGAGGCTGTCTCTAATGTTTCGCTTGGGTCTCAGCGTAAGTTGCTTCACATTTTTTGGATCTCATTTTTCTCAATTGTAAAATGAATAGAGGTGGACTGGCTGGCTTTGTGCTTTCTAAAATGCCATAAAAACATTATATGGTATTGAAAGACTTTTTCTGAAAAGCTTACTAGATTTGTCCACTACTGTTGAGCCATCGTACAGGGAGAAACACGATTGCACTTGAAAGCAGTGTTTCTAGCACACATCGTGAGCAGACATACTGGAAAACTGCTTCAGAACTCACAGAGGCTGCACACCCGTGAGAAGTATGAGGCGGGTCCATGGGAATGCCCCCACAGTCCCTAGTAGGACACCCATGAAGGCAGTTCACATGTGGCAATTACATTAGCCGGTAACCCTGAGTTACAGAAGTTCAAAATACATCCTGAAACTCAGCAGTAGGAATGTCAAGAGGCCAAGAAAGGAGGAGACTCACAAACGGGGTGGCAATGTAAAAGAGACTTTTAAGTTGCTGTAATAAAAGATCAAATCAAGGATGCAGCATTCATAAGATAGGCAGATCGCAAAAGAAGGAAACAGTTTATAGAAGAGCAGCAGGAGTAATTCTAAGAATAAAAATGTTTATCATTGAAAGAGGGAGAGAAAAGGAAAGGGAGAGTTATGAAAGTGGAAGACAGATCTGTAGAAATAACTGAAATTGCAACACAGAGGTAAAGAAATAAAGATGCAAAGGAGAAGGAAGAGATTGGCAAGGAGGGAGGGATAAGAAATTTAAACCTAGTCTCACATTCATTCTAATATGACAGAATTATGAGAACAGAGAGAGATAAAATAGAAAGAAAACCAGCCAAGAATTGTCCAGAATTAAGGAAAGACAGTATTTAGAATTTCAAAGAATGCACGCGTTTTAAGCGAGAGCAATAAAAATGGACCGATGTATTAATTAATACAAGACGGTTTAAGTGCATACTGCCAGAGTCAAGAAAGGAAGTGCAAAAGCTACCAGAGAGGACAGAAGCCATGCCGATGATTCGTGGAAACTCACAGGAGCACAGAGGCTCCCCTTCCCATCACACATTCCCCCCTCTCATTTCCACGAAGCACCTACTAATCATGGTTTCTGCTGTGGGTTCATCGGTTAAAGTTAGCCATCCTAAATTTAAATAACTCACTAACACATCTCTGACTTGATCCCACTCTAGACTGGCAGCTAGGAAAAATAGGGACGTTAGGGCGCTTCCTTCTACCCTTCCTCCCCCACAGCCTTAATTGGTGCAGTTAATGATGTCTGCAATGTTGAGAATCATAACATTTTCACCCTGTTCTGCAAAGCCACATGACTCAATACTCACCATTTACAACACTGTGATTATGGAACCGGTGTGCCGCCTAAAACCAAGTGTGTATTTGACTACGCACTAGGTGAAAGGTAACCTTAGAGTACTAGAACTTTGAAAGCAAGTTTTCCACACTTTCTTCCTTTCCAAATGGCTTTCTCCTCCAAACTCTGTATGTCCCTTCTTCAACCCATTTTGCATCACGCTACAATGTTACCCTGACCCGACGCCCTCACTCAATGTGTATACCCTTGTAAACACACCTTCTGCATCGTCTCAGGTTGGAAAGTCTCTTTATTTTGCTCTCACATCTCATTGTTTGAACTCCATTTTCACAATCATCTTCCCTTCAGATGTTGAAGACATTTCTCCCGTGACCTCAGCCTCTTCTGATGAGTTTGGCTCTCATTTCTTTGTAGCTAATATCATTTTAAGAAGGATTTAGAGACTTTTCTCCTTATGGTGATCTGAAGTCTCATCAGGATGCAACTAGGTGTAATTAGCTTTTAAAATCCATCTTATTCAGTGCATTGAGGACCAATTCATTCAAAAGACATGGAGCTTTCTTCAGAACAAAAACATTCTGCTATTTTCCAAAGCCGCTGCTTCCCCTGTGTTTTTCCCAAAGCCGCCGCAGACCTCTTGATCTAGATGGTAAACTTCTTTTTCTTTAAAAAAAAAAAAAAATTAAAAACTATTTTATTATTTTTATTTTATGTTTATGACTGTATTGCCTGCATGTATGTGAGTGTACCCGTGTCGTGCAATGCCGCGGAGGTCGGGAGAGGGCGTCGGATTCCTGTGGAACTGGGAGTTAAGGATGGTTCGTAGCGGCCATATGGGTGCTGGGAATCGAACCTGGGTCCTCTGCTAGAGCAGTCAGTGCTCTTAACGCTGCGCCATCTCTCCAGCCTCAAACTTCTTCCTTTTCAATTCATAACATTTCTAACGTAAAATGATGCAAAATCCATATGCCCTTCAGTGGGAACCTCTTTGGATTTTGATTTCCCCCAGGTTGTGTAAGGCTCCCTTGAGACACTAGGCGGCAGCAGGGAGCCCCGGCTCCGTCTCAGCCATGCAGTCCTGAGCACAGTCCTCCACAGAACATGGTGTTGCTAAGCTGAAATGCTGGGTACACGTCACAGTGTGGGCCTTGAATGTCCTTCGAAGTCCTATATGTTGAAAGGCCCACGTGCTACCCAAGCAAATGAAAGGTCAGGAACTACGAGCCCAGATAAACTTTTTTCTCTCTTGAGTATCTCAGGTGTTTTGATAAGGTAAAGAAAAGCGGACTAGCACAGGTTAGGAGTGCTAAATAACCCTTCTAACGGTATTTTCCACTTAAAATGGGTTCACCAAGTTGTTCCAACTTTTGTACTTGCATCAAGTAGCAACTGTGTCTTCATTTCTTCATCTTACTGATCCACACTCAGGCATAATTTCTCAACGTCGGGCTGGGAGCAACAAGGTATCTTCAGGTGGCGCCTTTTCTTTCTCAGCCGAGCTAACGCTTCCATCATGCCCTTGGGAATGTTCTTAATTTCAGCTGACACTTTATTCTCCCTCATTTGTCATATCACCTTTTTGCTGCGTTATTTGATGGACGCAGTGTTTTCTGACTAAAGCTGTCCATCTGGCACCCCCAGGAGTCACTTTGCGCCAAGCTCCATGTTTCCGCTGGGGCGTTTGCCCGTCTCCATTCTTCAACCTGCTGGTTCCTTAAGCTCCTGGAACCCCAGGTTGCCTGTATATCTTTGTGAGCGGAGGAATGTGCTGGGCAGTAGACAGCCAGTACTCAGGTTTATGGCATGGTGGGCTCGGTTCACGGCTGGCTGCTCCTCTACGGTCTGTGAGAGTGGCTCATCTGCAGCCTGCATGAGGAGTATTGAGTGAGGAGGCCCTGCTTGCTAGGAGAACCCTTCATGTGAGGAGCACTTTTGAGTGTGAGGAGCACCCTGCATTGAGGAGCACTCTGTGAGGCGCACTCTGAGTGTGAGGAGCACTCTGGGTGTGAGGAGCACCGTGCAGGGCCCACTCCCAGGCACAGCTGCCCCTGGAGGCAGAGCTTCTAGTCCTGCTCATTACACCTCTTTCTCTGTTGCAGTGGCCCTGATGCCTGCCACAGAGTCCGTTTTACTAGCTTGTTTTGTTTTTGCTTTTGTTTTTCAGACCAGATCACAGTTTTATCTTATGGTCAAAATGGTGGCCCAAGCAGACCATCATGCCCAAAGTGAGGCTCTTTGGTGAACACTAGCACTGGTTACCCATGATGCCTGCTTCTTCTTTGAATATGTTGATGGAATCTGGCCTACTACCCAGCATCCCCTAGAGAAAGCACACCTCCCCTGGTGCCTGGTCCCTTTCTCAATTTCTGAATCCCACTTCCTTCCCCGACCCCATCTCCTTTCTCACTTCTACGAATTCTTCAAAACTTCTGTGAATGGATGACGTTGCTGTTGCTTATCATAGGCTTGTCTTTTTACAACGTTTTGTTTTAAGTTTGGTTGTTTGATTTGCTAAAGGTATCCTACACCCTGTTCTGTCTACTTTCAAGACACTGTGAATTTGATGGAGCTAAGGGATGGTCAGAATTCTGGTAAGACATCCCTGTCACAGGGAGTATCTGTGAAGGTGTTTCTGGAAAACATTAATGCTTGAACCAGTAGAGCCAATAAAGACGTTCTTCACTAGTGGTTGTCATCCTAAGCCTTTGCACTGAGCATCGCACTAGAGCAAAGCCTTTCTCTCCTTTACCTGAACAACCTTCAGCATCAGAGTTTCAGTTCACAGGCCTTCAGATCCAGGAACTTATTTCAATAACTGCCTGCTTCTGAGGGCCTGAAGCCCCAGAATTATTCTGTCAGCTTCCCTGGTTTCCACCTTGTGGATGGCAGACTGTCCTTGTTATCACATAGGCCAATTCCCATACTAAATTGGGACTATGTCAACTACCTCCGGTCCTCCCTCCCTCCTGCTTGTTCTGTTTCCTTGACTTACTAATATTCCAAAGACTCCCAAAGCTAAACCTTTAGCTTAGGCTTCTCCTTGGAGCTGCACTTCCACGTGACTAGAGTCCTGAGACCTGTATATCTCAAAGCTTAAATTTCACATGTCTAAGATAACCCTCTTCCTCCCTGCAAGCTACTCAAAGACTGCCACCACATTTCTGAAGCTATTCAAGCCAGAAGCAGGGTCTACTTGTTTATTACCAACACCCAGTCCTTTACAAAGTCTGGATGATTTTACATGGAACTGAAACAGTTCTCAACTTGGCGCACCTCTTTCTGCTTATGCAAGCAGCCCTCCCCCATGCTCTCCCTGACCCCTCTTGCTGCCTTCCCCACGGTCCTCAACACACACGTTCTTCACACAAAGGCCCGAGTGAGCTCTGGAGTTGGAAGAGCATAGGTTGTGGCCTTTCTTCTTCTAGAACACTTTATGCCATCTAAACTATCAACCAACTCAAGGCTCTACCACCTCTACGGTTGCTGTGGTCCGTCAGTCTCTGTCTTAATCTCCTTCCACTCTCTCCACCTGGTGCTCATACCGCACTGGCTTCCAGTTTCAGGAACAAACTGCATTCTTTGATGTCTCAGGCCATTTGCTCAGGCCAGTCACAGTGACTGAAATGGGCTCAGGCCGGTCACAGTGACTGAAATGGGCTCAGGCCGGTCACAGTGGCTAAAATGGGCTTTTCCTCCTCTACTCCATCTTTAACTCAGCCTTTCCAACTATGGAATAATAGGAGGTTTGATCATGGGGTTCAACCTACTCTGGGGATTGAGGAGGGCTTTTCTGTGGAAGGGGCCTTGGGGCTGAGACCTTTGTTGCTTCATACAGGTCTGTACTCCTGGGACTTCAGCTAAAGTCTGCCTGACTTTGTGCTTATTTAGAGCAATTTCTTTGACTTTATTCACCTTAAACCATGATAATCTTAGGATCAAAGGAAAGAACATTATGACAGGTGTGGCAGTGTACACCTTTAATCCCAGCACTTGGGAGGCAGAGGCAGGTGGATCGCTGTAAGATTGAGACCAGCCTCATCTACTTAGTGAGTTCCAGGCCAGCTGGGGCTACAGGGAGACCCTGTTTCAGAACACCCAGAGGAAACAAAACAAAAACCCCCAAAGCACATAAAACACTCGTGCGGCTCTTCCGCCACACTGAGCGAACACTAGGCCAGGGTGTGTCTGAAGGCTTTGTACGTATCACTCATGTAGTCCTCACTATGGCCCTCTAAGGCATGTACCAATCTTGCCCTAGCAGCCTCCGTTCTCTTACTCCTCTACACAGAGAACTAAAGCCTGGACAGGGAATGGGAACAATGGCTTTGGTACAAACAGAACTAGGTATAAATCTTGGCCAATTACCTAATTCACGACTTTGCAGTTCTGAAAATGGAGGCAGTATCATTTACCACTGCAGTAGCATCGTGAGGATTTAAATATGATCAGGCATGTCAAAGGTTAGCATGTGGTAGGTCCCCAGCAAACTTGAATTCTTTTACCCTTTTCCAATAATCAGAATCCCATCGATGTCTTCATCTGCATGAGAGCATACATACTAATTTCATATAATTTATCCTAGACACCCTAAACAAAGGCTTTATATTCTCAAACCTCCCACAAACCTTCTTAGCAAGGTAGTGAAAGAGTAAATTTTCATACTACTTTTTCTATGTAGAAAACATTTTATTTTATTTTTTGTTGTTTTTTGTCTTTTTGAGACAGGGTCTCCCTGTAGCTCCAGCTGTCCTGGAACTCATTATGTAGACCAGGCTGGCCTTGAACTCACAGAGATCCGCCTGCCTCTGCCTCTCGAGTGCCAGGATTAAAGGCGTGTGCCACCACTCTGGCTTTTTTTATTCTCTTTTAACGGTGATATATCCCATAATACAGTTTAAGGCCTCGGCTAATCCTGATTTTGGTTTTTGCCAAGGAGGTCTCACAAAGTTTGGAACCCATTTTCATAGTTCATGTGTTCATCTCTGAATATCCTAATACTGATCTATTTTAAGGGAATTATGGTTAAAACTCAGTTAAAACAGCAGTAGAGCATTATGAGACACAAAATACCTTAAGTCACTTGTCTGTAGCAAAGTAAGTACCTTAGGATTTAGACTCCATCATCATCATCATCATCATCATCATTGTCATCGTCATGCTATTCACGTGCTTACACTTTGGTATGAAAATGTTCTACAGTGGTGACTCTTTCACCCACCCACTCGCTCCTTCAGTAACTGTTGAGAATGCAACATAAACCGAAACTTCAAAGACAGAGAATTACTAAAACACGGCCCTGCCCCTGAGGAGCTCACCCTATTAAAGAAACCAGATTGGAAAAAAAAAAACCCTTCCATATAACATAATGAACATCTTTGCCATTTTTCTCTGGCTCAGTATTTACTGAACTAATCAATAAATCACTGCATGAGTAAACCAGAACACGAGGCTGGCAAACACCATGATAGAGAAAGACACTTCCCATGGGTATGAACCCTTCAGCTGCCTGTCTCAGTGCATGGTAACTCCATTTACCTAGCATCCGCTGGATGAATGTAGTTTAGCCTTGATACCCTCAGTCTCTGTCCATTACTCAGGTCCAACCCTAACCAAGTCCTACCAGGCCTTCTTTCAATATTTACTCT